AATTTGAATTTGGTTACTGTTTGACTATTGATCGGATTACGCATATTAGGCGTTATCCGGGTTCGATATGTTTAGACCGTTGGATCGATGCCACTTTCAATATGTTGATCTAAGCACATCTAGGATCGCAGAGGAATTCGCAGATCATGAATCGGAGTCCGAATGCTCCGATTTAATAACTGAAAGTTTGCGTAAAACGATGACCATTCGATCGTGCGATCGTGAGCGATCCGATCGCTCGATATGGACCAAACTTGTAGGACATGTATAATCTATAGCGGGCCCGGTTGACCAAGTTTGGACAGTTTGACCCTTAGGTTGGCTGTGAGTCTTTCGAGGTAGTTTTACTCTTTGAAAAGTACTAGAATAACTTGGTAAACAAGTCCTAATTTTTATTTGAGTTATTTTGACTATGTTGGATTTATGAGATTGTTTTATAGTATTTTATGGAAATTATGTGTAAGCAAATTGTGATTATCATTTGAATTATTTGGAGTATTTGTGGAACTTATGCTTTTGCGAGTGGACATTGTTTTGAAATAGCATTATTTTTATTGATTAAATTACCATGCATTCAATATGAATATTTCTACTATGTTGATATTTGAAGTTATGATTTTTCAGAATATGGATTGTATAAGTTGAGGAATTGCTATTCATCTTGTGATTAAATGATTGGGCAAGAGGTTAACATGAGCTAGGGTACTTTATTGTTTGATTATGTGAATATGGGATTGCATTATGCTAAGTACCCTCCCTTAGTTATGGTACCCACAGGTGGCGTTGGATTATCCAGTGTGAGATAAAGCAGTTTGCGCGCATAGAACATGGTTTGGTTGGGCCACACGTGGTGTTGGATTTTTCGACATATGTGCTTATTGGGACACTAGTTATTTTACCACACGTGGCGTTGAATTTTCCGACGTGTGGTAAAGGATCCGTACACTTTGGTTACTGTTACTTTACTACGCGTGGCATTGGACTCTCCGATGTATAGTAAAGTAACAGGGAGAGGAAAAATGGATTTTTATACTATATTGGGAAAAGATTAATGTTTAAAAGAATTAACTTGTTGGTATTAATGAAAATAATTGTATATTATCTGGTTTGTGATTATGGATTGTAGAACTACGTGTGGCTTGATCCCTCAGTAAGGGTACGTAGGTAGCCTGGGGTCTTACCCAGGTGCAGCCGCAAGATCAAGTATATTTTTGGACTTTACTTTGGTCATTGGGATCATATCCGATTTATTAGTTTTATCAAGTTTGGTTTGAATTATGTCGGGGAGCCTGAAGCCCAGCCGAGGTGAGATTAAATGATTGGTTATTGTTTGGGCCTTGAATTCCACATGCCAACCCAAGTGAAATTGGCCCATACCAGGATAAGGAAATTTTGGGCTTTGTTTCAAAAAAGACAAAGACTAGCCCAGATGGTTCTAAAAGCTCGGACCCTTGGAAACCAATTAACGAAATGGACCCAGTTTTAGTTTCAAAAACCGAAAGCCCAAAGAGATTAATCACCACTGTTGATCTCAAATCAGATCAAAAGCAGATATTATGGAAAATTTCCCTTCTAGAAAAAAGGGCCATGTGACGTTGAAAAGTCAAAAGTTTCAACTAAGGCAGTGATGGGGAGTTAACAAAAACAGGTTAACCAAGAAGACACTCCCCATAAACCATTCAAAATGACCATAAGTAAAAGACAGCCAAGTTGCCCTTCTACACCCACAGAGGGCTCTACATTGAAACAGATTGAAACATGATGTGTTTCTCAAGAAATAAAGTAGGAGACGAGAGAGTTGTTTGCCAGGAAAGCTAGGAAAAGACCGTCATAGAGTCTGACTGTTGGTGGTTTTAGCTCTGCCAGAACAATAAATTCCCCTTTTTATGGCGTTAGAGAAAAGGAAAATCTTTTTGGAAGATCTGCCGCCCAGTTTTAAAAAGTTTAAAAATAAAAGAAACCCTCATTCCATAGTGCTCTATAAATATGAGAGGAGGTGAACAGATTGGAGGACAGCCAAAAAACCAATCAAGACAAAAAACTCTCAAATCATATTGACAAATTCAAAAGAACAAAGTCATTCAAATCCCAAAAGCCTTTAGATTTTGAAACAATCAAGTCATTCAGTCTGAAAATTTATCCAACCTTTTGGCAAAACAGCCAGAGCTTGGGTCATTTCAATTCAAAGAAACAATTCACAAACGAAACAAGACTTTTCTTGGTACAAATTTGGTTCAGCATAGGCCAAATCAAGCAGAATTCAGGTTCTTCACAATATGAAAACCTCAACAAATTTACAAAGACTTTTTGAGTGCTCTGAATTGCCAGAATAGCCTTTGCTTGAGTCACAATCAAACAAAACAAGTACGGTGGAGCAGCTCCAGGCCAGCAATCGTTAATCCAGTTATCTCCAGTTCAACTTAGGCTGAAGTAATACTAATTCTACCCAGCCAGCTAGCCTCTCCATGGCCGGAACAGATTAAAGCTCTGCCAATTTTGACATTGGTATCGATTTCCAACTAAACCTCATCAGTTGAAGATACTGATGTGCAATCCCAATATAAATGAATCCAGTCCAGCCCGGTTCACCAAAACAGACAGAAGTCAAAGTCCAGTGTTCTGTCTTTCTAGACTTTGCAGCTTTTCTTTGTTCTAATATTGCTCAATAGTTAGCTTATTTTTATTCCAAACAGTTCACCTTATTCTTTTTGAGCTTTTATTTTGGCTAGAACTGCTAGTTTTGTATTGTGAAAAATTATGAAGTCCTCACCAGTCTGAGGCAAGAAAAGAACTTACTTAGGAGATATTCCTCACCCAAATTCACAATCACTTGTTTTAAAGGCAGTAACTTGGGGCGGAAGTTATTTCATTTATCTTTTATAAGTCTATTAGAGTTCTTTACTACTAACAGTGGCACGCTCACATACAAAAGAAAGTTGACTTGTTGAACACCAATGGTTTCCAAGCCAATGGGGAACTTCACCCTATCATCATAGGAAACAAACAAAAATGGGTGAACATTTATATTTCATTATTACCAATTAGTTGTGGTTAAAAGGTGTTTGTGGTCTTGTTGAGTCTGAAACTTGTTTGGATGGATGATTGATCCTGGTCTGAGTCTTTAGAATTGCTTTGTTATCTCCCATGTAGGGTTGGGCCTATTCTGTGAACTGTGTGCTTTTACATTGTGCATGCTGAAGTTTGGGAATTTTAAACTGCATTTTTGACATGTTGAAAAATTTGGGAAATGTTTGTTTTTCAAGGGAGACGCTGCTGAAATTTTGGCAGAAAGTCTCATCCTTCTTTTCCTTGATTTGAAAAAAAAGGACTATATCATTAGTAAGTGGGCCCGGCATCAACTTGATGTCGAAAATACCACAGGATTTGTCACGGATTTCGAGGAGTTCAGGGCGAATCCTGTCATCATTGACATAAACTTCCATGGTTTTGCCAATCTGCTCTTTAAAAATCTTGTTCACAAGCCTTTGGTAGGTTGCTCCGGCATTGTTTAGCTCAAAGGGCATGACTTTGTAGCAGCATGTACCCCTTTCAGTGAAAAATGTGATTAGAGAAACAAATGAAGTGAAGAAGAAACTTAAGAAACAAATGAAGAAGATAAGATATTGAAAGTCAAAAGTTAAAGTCAAAGTCAACATGTTTGACCAAAACGGATGACCAAGTCAAACTATTTGGACTAGAGGATATGAATTAATGGATAAGTCACAAATCACAATTAAAATGTTAATTGTGAAGTTAGTTTGACAGTTGGAGTCTATTTGGGCTTTAAAGACATTTTTTTGTGGCCAAATGACAAAATAACCCAAGGACCCATTGGGCCTAAGAACATGTGTTGTTAAATGAGCCAAAAACGGTATGTCTTTGATATAAAGCCACACTTTGATATTTTCCAAGTTCGGGTTTTTGGCCGCCAAACCATGAAGTGTTGATGTGTAGGTGAGACATCCTTCATCTCATATTCTTAGCCAAAAATCAGACCAACTAAGAGGTAGTCTAGCATCTAAAGCCTCTTGGTTGATCTTTTCTTCATCTCTTATCCATTTTGGTGTGGTGAGGTAGAGGGCTTCTACTTTGGAGCCTCTTTATTGAGTAATCTACGTTCTAATAGGAGATTGAAGGCTTTTCCAATAAGATGATCATTCTTAGTTCTCCAAGGAAAGTTTACAAGTATAAAAGCTTAACGTCTCTTTTCTTTTCTACTTTATGATCAAAGAGACTAGATCATAAGATATTTGGGTTAAAATGAAAAAAAAAGCTTAGCGCAACTAGAATAAGCATAATCAATTCACCATTATGTCATTCACTTTTACACGGAATCCAACGGTTGTGAAGCCGTGTGTACCCACGGTAGACTGAAGAATTTTCTTTCCATTAGAAGGAATATTACAAGAACATATTACCTAGACAAAAAAAGAGTTGGAAAAATGCAGCCGAAAGGCCACGTGTCGAAATATTGCACTCCCACATCTCACCACAAGCCCAACTGTCAGCTAACCTTACACCACCACAGGTCCACACAGTCCCAAAACGTCGGAACATTGAAATTCAATTTATTCAATTATTTATTTATTTATAAAACTAAATAAAAAACAATTTCTATTTATGTCATCCACAACTTTCTCCCTCTCTCTCTTCCTAGGGCTTTTCATCCCCAAACGAGGGCCTCTCTCTCTCTCTCTCTCTCTCTCTCTCCCTTTTCTCTGTAGTATTATTTACTATGTAGGATAGAAGAATCAGAATAATTCTCCAGCATCTGCGTATTATATAGATATATATATTTATATAAATAATATATTATTACGAATATAAATTTTCTTCAGTTTTTCAGGCAGCATATAATTTAAGCTAGATCACTTAGAACATTTTCATCAAATCTAATCACAATGACTTCAGTCATCAACGTGGACGGTCAGGATCAGCTACTCAGCGATCTTAACAATTCATCCACCCAGCAACATCAGGTGCTTCTTCTCTCCTGTGTTCTTTCTTCTTGTTCTTCCGTCGGACCAGATCTAGTTCATTTTTTTGATCGATTTATTTATTTTCTGCGTTTTTTTTAATCGTAACCCTGTGATTGTTTACCGGGAAACTGAGGGTCAAAGAAAATTTTGTTGGGGGTGAATTGGACTTTCTGGAATTTCTCTCTTTCTGTGTTTTCCTGCATTTTCTACGCTGCCAAATGCCACAATTTTGACTGCGTCAAACTCTGGGTTTGATATCTTGGCTGTGAAGCAATTGAAATCCAATATTGAATACTTGGGTTCCTTGTTTTACTTTTCTACGCATTTTCTCAGCAACCGAACATCACAAAAAACATAAAATCACATTCGTTTTGAAATCTTTGAATTAGATATTTGGGTAATTATAAAAGGTTAGTGTATGATTCCATGCTCTAATGCGAAGTGTTTTCTTTCATTGGAGTTTTGAGTTTTCATTAAATTTGTTAAATTGGGGATTTTAAAATTTTCAGGGGGAAATGCAGAGCAACACAGACAACGTTGAAAAGAGATGTGGGAATCATGGTGGGGTGTGTGCAATATGCTTGGATGAGATTATGCTTCAAGAAACTGCTCTTGTAAAAGGTTGCGAGCATGCCTACTGGTTTGTCTTATCAGTCTCTTTTCTATTTAAATCTTGCGTTTCCTAAATTCAAAGTATTGGTCTGCTGCTTTTCGCTCGGTATCATAGTTGTGGTTTATGCATTTAGTGCTATAACTGTTCTGTGTTTCTGTAATGATGCTTTGGTCATTTACTCATTTGGTGTGTCTTTGTACAACTTCTCTGGTTACAATAGCCTCTTTGGCTATATGTGGTTATCTAATAACGGCCACTGTTTGTTTTTTCTGGGGTAGGGCTGACCAGGCTCTTAAAATTTCGTAATTTGGTGGTTTTTGTAAACATTTTATACAATAATTCATAGCCTCAAATGGTCTGATAATTCATTGTCTCATCAAGAATTGTGAGCAATGTCGTCAAAGGCTGTGATCTGAACACTTGTTTCCTGAGATAAGGCAATGTAACTGGCTAGCATCTCTTGTACTGATGCAAAGGCGAAAATCCTCAGTTGTTTAAGGTGCACATGCAACAGCAATACAAGTTTGTGGGTTAATGTATAAAAAGCCAGAAGCTACCAACCTATTATGTTTTTTTAAAGTTCCAAACTCAGTGGGTTTTAGTTGTATATTTGCATTTATTTTCGGGGTAAAATCCATGAGAAGCTACCAACCTATTATGTTTTTTTAGTTTCTGAATAAAATGTGAGGGAGTTGTTCTCATGTTCTGAACGGCTTTTGTCCTTCTATTGACACATTTGCTCATTTTTCCTTTGTTTTAAGGATGACATATTTCTTATTGCTAATATGTGCACATTGTGCTGCACTGTTCAGGAGTAACTAGATAAATTCCATTGCTTCTTTATTGCATTTTGAGAGCATAGTCTAAAAGAGAGGTATGTCTGTCCCATGCTACTTTATCAATTTAATCTGGAGACTGTTTTATCTGCAGTTAAGACATTATAAAGCGTGCATTATTCTTGGTAGTTGATGATATTGAGAATGAGTGCTCATTTGAGCAGTCAATCTTACAATTTACATCAACCATCAAGTTTTCTGACCTTTCCTTTTTGCCCAAGGACTAAGTACCCTAGGTTCTCTATTTCCCCTGATTTGATAAGTTTTTCTTATTCACAACACATGTTAAGTTATGAAATCAATTATCCCTTATTTCTCCGTTTTCTGATTACTATTTCCACTAGGTTTTCCTTTATCATTAGGTTATAAATTTTGCATCTGTGAAGTCAAACGTTATTAGTGTTTTATTGGTGTCTATTTTATATAAATATTATGAGGTTTATCAAATTTCATTATCAAAGATTGACTATAGATGATATCATGGGTGTTTTTAGTATTTAGAATATTATTTTTGACAATATATACAATGGATATGTGACTTACTCAAATGAAGATTCTTTATATTGTATTTCCTGTGGGTTACACAGTTAAAGTAACTACTCCTCAATGTAGACTTGATTGGTAGTGTTGTAAAAATTAAGGGTTCTAGAAACACGAGTTCATCAGATTTTCTGACGATTGTGGTATGGGAAATCAACACAGTAGGTGAACAAATATATGCATGGGGAGCAAGGCCTGTTCACAAATCAAACATAATTAGCTTCACCCTTGTTGATTGTATTGAAACTATTTATATGCGCATCATGGCTGCTGTGCTGGACTCCCTGTTGATATCTGCAAAGCCATAGCATTAGTTTTAGCTCTCGACTATACTCTTTCTGAGTTATCGCATGAAAAATAAAATAGAATGAAAGCCTGACACATGCTTTACTTTTTATTTGTTTTAAGCAACGGCATTGGCTGTGGTATTCATCATTTTTCATTTTTGTTATGTGCAGTGCAACCTGCATTCTTCGTTGGGTGACATACAGCCAAAAACCCACCTGCCCTCAATGCAAACATCCATTTGAGTTCCTGAATGTCCATCGTTCGCTTGATGGCAGGTATTTGAAGTCTTCTTGTTTCGCTTTATGTGCATATTTAGAAAGGGAGAAACATGGTTATGACTTATGAGAATACCTCCCAGTGGGAGATGGGGAAGACTTTTTGCATGTAAGAGTTATTTTGAGTAATTAGTTAGCAAATCACATAATACTTTCAAGGAGATGCTATTTTTTCAGTAATTAGTTGACATGCCTAAGGAAAGAAAGCATATATATGTTGTATTAACGCAACCTTCACATTTTTATGCTTTGACAGCATACAGGACTACATGTTCGAGGAGAGCGTGTGCTTACTTCTTAGAGCAAAATGGTTTGAGCCTCTGATTGTGGAGGAACGTGAAGATGTATATGATGACCCTGATGATTATTATTACCCCTACGAGGACGAAGAGGATGATGATCTGGATGAAGCTTACTTCAGCAGTTCATCGAGTATCCGAATCGGTAATCGAAGATGGGGAGATAATGGATATGTGAGAGGTGGGCGTCAAGAAGCAAGGCCTGTTCACAGATCAAACATAGAGGACTCGGGTGCTAGTTCGTCTCGTGAGCCTAGGAAGAAAGAGGCCGCAATGGATAAAACTGGGAGACGTGCGAAGCGGGCGCTTAAACGTGAAGCTGCTGATAAGGCTGCTGCAGCAAAACATCAGCAGCATTTGGCAAGGTTGGGCCGGAAGTAATTCCCTTTATGCAACTGCGTTATATGGCAGATATTGAAACCCTCCCACCCCATCTCCTGTACAGTAATTCCCTGACCTTTTATCTTTTGGGTTAAGATTGTATTTGCCGTAACTATGTGAAATAATGTAACATTCAGAGGGAAGGAAAAAGGAAAAAAAAGAGAAAAAAACAAAAAAACAAAAAACAAGGACGCGGTGAAATAATGACTGACTGGTCCGTGTATTCTTAAAAATTGTTCAGATTACATTTAACCAAAAAAAAAAAGTTTCAGCTCCACGGTATCTCATTCTGCTTCTTTGCAAGTCAAGTTTCGATTGTTTTACTGTAACGCATTCCGAATTGTCTAACAAGCACGTCGTGACAAGCATGGGTTTACATACTTTAATATGTGGAAGAATATAGATCACTCTGGGCATGTTTACACGTTTACTTACCAAGAATGAGGGAAGACTTGTATTGGGAAGACTTGTATTGGGAAACTTAGAGAACTCAAAAAAATTAAAATTGGATCAACTACCCTCTAGCTTATTACATTGTTGATTTGCTTTTTATCATAAATGGTCCTTGAAGTTTGCAAAATTATCACTTTTTGTGCCTAACTGTTTTTGTGACACTAATGGTCCTTAATGTTACCCTCCACACATCAAAATGGTCCCCGTGCGCAGATCTATGAATAGGAGATGTTGTGCGAGTATCTACAGGACCTAAATTATCAACAGGCTCTCCAAGCACGTTGAAAATTCGTCCTAGAGTAGCTCCGCCGACTGGAACACTTAGAGGAGCTCCGGTGTCAATCACTTCCATTCCTCTCTTTAGACCATCTGTAGCACTCATAGCTACAGCTCTAACTCGATTATTTCCTAATAATTGCTGTACTTCACAAGTCACATTAATTTGTTGACCAACAGCATCTCGACCCCTAACTACCAGAGCGTTGTAAATATTAGGCATTTTGCCCGTTGGAAAAGCGACATCCAATACCGGACCAATGATTTAAGCGATACGCCCCAAGTTTTTTTTTTCAAGTGCGGGAACCCCAGGACCAGAAGTCGTAGGATTTATTCTCATAATAAAATATGTCGAAATGTTTTGCGAAAATTACTGAAATCAAAAATAAATTCGATAGCAAAACAAGTTAAGTTGATCGACCGTTAACTTTCGTCAAATTTTCTGTTACATTGTTGATGTGGTGCATGTGTGGAGCCCGCACATCCAGTGGTATAGAGCCACGTGGCTTTAAATAAAATAACATATATTTTAAATATTTTAAAACTTAAAATAAATTTATAAATAAAAAAAAAGAATTAAGTTTTTTTAAGGAAAAAAAAAACCGTGCAACTACACTCAACGGTGTCCAAATTGTTAATAAGGTTCAGTCCTTGGTTAATGGATAGCTGCTTAGTTTTTTTTCCTAAAAAAAATTTAAATATTTTTAAAGTGTTTTTTTAAGGAATTTTAAGTTTTAAAAGTTATTTTATTTTATTTACAGCCGTGTGCCTTTATACCATTGGATGTGTGGGCTCCACACATGTGCCACATCAATTTAACAGAAAATTTGATGGAAGTTAACCGCAGGGACCATTTTGATGTGTGGAGAGTAACGTTAAGGACCATTAGTGTCACAAAAAAACGTTAGGCACGAAAGGTGATAATTTTGCAAACCGCAGGGATCATTTGTGATAAAAAAGCCTTGTTGATTTTGAGGGTACTTGATAACAAATTTTAAAGTAGAATTCATTTAATTTTTTATATATTATAGATTGAGTTATTTACAATAATACCTCTTGAGTTTTTCGGTGTTTTCACAAAATCCCATGAGGTTTTTGAAATTACATGAATACCCCTTAAGTTTTTAATTATTTTCATAAAACACCTTTCTGTAGATTTTCAATCAAAGATTGATGATTTTAAATAGGGTAATTTTCAGTTCACTACTATGAAGTTGTCTGTGTTTTAGAGTTCGATACAACAAGTTTTTTTTTGTCTCAATCGCATCCATAGCGTTTAATTCCATATTAATTTCATACATTCGTCAGTCAATCTGTCAGGACCTCCGTTAAAAGCTGACGTAGTACATCAAGTGGGCACTGTAATAAACGATTCCCACCAAAACGCTGACGTGGCTATCGATCCCCCCTCTCAGTCCATGTCATCCATGTCTGGGTCTTCTCAGTCATAAAAGGAAATGACAGTGAACTGCGACTATGTGTTGAGGGCGAAGAGATCACTTCGTGGACTAAAGCGAACCCTGGTGTTGAGGCCCAAAATGTCACAAGAAGTCCAAAGATATCTCAAGCCCAATATAACATATAATGTTGGTTATGCATTAATTCAAACTGTATTTTGTGAATTAATTTATGGGTATACTAGTGATTTGCCCCTTGAACTCCTACCTTACTTTCAATTAACCCCATATCCTTTTTTTTTAGAAAATTAAGGATATGAACTTCTTTTTTTCGCCAATTTCCCCCTTGCCGTCTAAATCCGCAACATTTCATCCAATTGGCCGTTAAATATAAGGGTAAAATAGTAATTTTGTACGTTAAAATAAATAAAAGATGAAAAATAAAATAAAAAATAGAAGATTGAAATAATAGTCATAAAATAAAAAATTGAAAACTCACTCTCTCTCTCTCTCTCTCTTTCTACCTTCTTCTTTGAATTTCCAGAACCTCCTCATCTCCTTCTCTTCAAATCCAAATCCAAACTTTCTACTTCTTTGCATATCACCGTTTAAGCTCGAGCTGTTATTGAGGGTCTTTCTTTTGCTGCTGACCAAGGCTTTTCTCACATTTATGTTGACTCTGATTCCAAACCCCTTATCAATTGCTATTTGGGGAAAATTGCCAAGGGAGCCTGGGAACTCTATCAATCCTTGGGGTGTATCCAGGAGCTGAGGTCAAAGTTTACTAGTGTTTGCTAGGAGTGGATCCTAAGAGAAGCCAATGCTATGGCTGATGCAGTGATGACAATTGCAATCTGAGGGATGGGTACGGAAGTTTGGGTCGATCGACCCCCATCCTCTCACGCTTGTTGCCTCTGCAATGCGCCTGAAGAATTTTTGCATTCTTGATATGGCTATGATCTAGTTCTGTTTCTATGGCTCTGTTTTGGGCATGTTAGCCAGCAAAGACTCACTTTTTCTTCAATTTTTAGATGTGGGGGTGGGTTGCGTTCGGGGAAGGGGGTGGGTCACTGGCTGCTGTGATGGAATTGGAGTGGTTGGTAGCCACACCTAGCCCTACCATCATCTTCCCTAATCCCTCTCACAAATACAACAACCAAACCACCACAACCACCATCATCTTCCCAACCCCCTTCTCCCCCCAAACTTCCATAGGTGTCTTGATAAGTTTTGGGATGAGGGAGAAAAAGGGCCCGGCATGGGGTGGCTGGGGTCTGGGGGAGTTGGTTTTGGTGGAAATCAGAATGAGAATTTTCATGTGGGAGAGAGAGTTGCTGTCAGCACTAGGTGGGTTGGGACTTTGGGTACCTGCTTTGGTTTTTCTTCCATTTTTATTTTTATTTTTCATACTTTTTAAGAGTAAAAAGTTTGAATCAGGTGGATTTGTATTTCCAAATCCTGTGAGCTTGGGGTTTGACAGAGGATTCAGTGAGAGAGATAGAGATGAGCTCGGCCATATTTTTTTTTTCTTCTTTTTTTTTTTAAAATTTTTTTTCCAAAAAAAGAACTTTATTTTTAATGATTTAACAGAAAATTGGATGAAATGTTGATGATTTAGACGGCAGGGGGGAAATTGGCAAAAAAAAAAGTTCATATCCTTAATTTTCTAAAAAAAAAGGATAGGGGGCTAATTGAAACTTAGGTACAAGTTCATGGGGTATTTCACTAGTAAACCCTTAATTCATTGAATAAATATAGAAATAATGTACATGCCATGCCAAGCCAATAATACATTTTCCTATACTAAACCACCCGACAAGCTTAAGTGGGCCAAAGCCACATACATCGTTGGGGCTTGCTGAGTGGGTTGTGGTATGGATGATTACGAGTGTTCATGAGGCCCATTGATGGTCCAAGGAATGGAAGTTTTGGGCAGCTTGGGAGCACCAAACTCATGCCCATTTCTTGAGCCCAAATATATGGGTAAGCATAAGAGAGAAAAAATAGCCCAGCACCTTAGAGAAATGGCTTAGCACCTTAGAAAATATCCTAGCACCCTATTAAAACCAAGTCAAAACCAAGCCATCGTTAAAACCAAGTGAAACCCATGTGCACGGGTTGCTGGAAGTGAGACACCTTTTAGACCAGCAACCTTACCCATTGTTTCCTCTACAAGCTTTGGTAGGAAAACTAGGAGGAAAAGCAAGAGGCGCCTCACCCAGGATGGAAGAAGTTAGCTGTAGGAAAACCTTTGGCAAAATTTGCTTGGATTAAGGAATTTTCACCAAAAAGGATTGAATCGAAGGAAGTGAAGGGAAATGGAGGAGAAGACTTGGCAAAATTTGGGGAAAGTGAGCTAGGGTTCCTGAACTAGAAGGGGCTTCTAGTGCCTATAAAATGGGGCACCTTCTACCTAGCGAAAAAACCATCCAGAGCACGACTAAGCAATCGTCAAGCTACTGGAAAATTTTCTCAAGCCACCCATCCTTTTATCCCCATCTCTCCCTTTATTCCCTCATCAAATCTTCCCAAATGTCCCTCTCCCCTTGCTCTGAACCTCTGTTTTCCATAAGAAATCCAAGCTTTCTCTAAAATTGCTAAACTCATGGAGGCTTAGCTCCCTCACCACAAGTCTGTCATGCCAAGCTCTTCCATATTAATTCACTAAAACATGCTCTCATGTCAAGCCTGTATAGTCTCTATACAATATGAACTCTTTTTGGAGCTGTCAAATGCCAATAGCCGCCAAATACTTCATCTTCTCCAGCACATTTGTTCCAACACTATTCTCACTTTAAGAAGAGCACTTCCAACACAGTAAAATCAATCAAAATCATTCTAGTACCTATTATACATCAAAACTTGCGAGGAGCCATTGAAGATGACAAGAATATTCCCTAAGAATCAGCATTCTTTAGGGATATTTTGGGGCCTAGTCCTTGAACCCAAGCAAAGGGGCAACTTCACTCTCTCTTTATAGCGGCCCAAGTCCACCTAAAGCTATTGGAACAAAAAGACCCCCACACATGGTAGGAGGTTTGATACGTGCACAAAGGTAATTTTAACTATGTTTCATGTAAAATTGATGTGGCTCTTATGTGTTTTTG